GGGGGGGGGGGGGGGCGTTTCTCACACACACACACACACACACACACACACACACACACACACACACACACACACACACACACACACACACACCAACTTTGTTCCTAACAGTGATACTGTGTGTGTTTTTGTTTTTGTTTTGTTTTTTTTTTTACTTGCTCATCTGCGTGTTTTCATCCGTGCGGGTGTGTTTACCCCGGTGTTTTATCCATACAGGTAGTGGTGAATTAGAAAGCTCCACGTACGCACAGCTCGCTGCTGCGCGGTCCTCCCCTGCAGGATAAACGTGGACTGTTGATGGCGTGTCTGCGCCGATCGATTGGCCATCTAATGTCGGGGGAAAGGCCGCTCAGTTGCAAATCAATTGGTCGGAAAAGAAACGGGTGGTCGATTAGAAATTAAAAAGCAGCATCGATCGGATGTGAGAGTGTAGTCGCAGCAGACAAGGAGGTGGGGAGAACAAAAGCAGAAATGCCCAGACTGGCGTGGCTTGGCATTTCTGCTAGACGCTTTCTGTTTTCCTCTCTCTGATCTGATTTAATCCGATAGTAATTGATCATATCTTCTTAAAACACACCAGTCAACATTCCCCACCACTATTTAACATTCTTCTGTAAAATCTTTGTTTTGTAAAGAGACATGCCAGACTGTTGTTCCCCCCTCTGACCACCGGATGGTGCTTTTGCTGTTGAGCTTCAGTTTTGTGTTTCTATGCAGGGAGACACCCAAATACACTGTAACTGTAAGGCCACAAAGCCTTTACAGGAACCATTCACTCACTTACTCACCGATGCATGTACACACATGCTGGTTCCCTTTTTTTCCGCTGATGTAATGAGTGATTCCAGGAAGGCTGCAGGGTGATTGCCAAACACTCGTCTGCTATTTCTGAATGACTTTTAACTGACCGAGAAGACACTGAAAGAACAACTTCTGTAAATTAAAAAAAAAGTGTCATTGTGTGGCTTGTTTTTGTTCTTCCCTTTTGACTAATGTGTTTGATTTATGTAGTTGTTGCTTCTTTCTTTGAGTGGTGTCAGCTCCATGAGAGAGGTTTTTGATCAGGCAGCAGGAGATCCAGAACGGTTTCAAAGAAACTAGGTGCCACGGTTTCTGCCGTACGATTGTGTGGAAAATAGATGCTGAATTGGTAGCAATGTTTTGTTGACATGGCGTATTCTCCCTGTGTGTCTCTGTGTTGCTCTGCTGATGGACTAGCAGCCTGTCCAGGAGTAGGACTGGTGGTTGGGGTTATTTTTGCGAATTTCACATCAGGTTTCAGTAATAACTGCAGGTGTAACACATACAAAGAAGTCAAAACGTCCATCCATCAATCCATTCCAGATGGTGAATTTGTTCAACAGCCATTTGGCGAGAGGCGAGGTAAACCCTGAACAAGACCCAGTCCATCAAAACACAACAAAAGGTCACACATACACACTAACACACACAGTCACTCATCAGGGCAAATTCTAGAGAAACTAGAAATTTTTCTAGAAATTTCTAGTTTCTAGAAATTCAGAAAACATGTTTCAGAAACAAACATGTTTTCTGAAACACATTTGTTTCAGAAAACTTTTGTTTGCAGAGACTTCATGATTAATTTTATTTGTTGTTTCTATTTTTTTTTTGTTCATTTGTTTTGGATATTTAAAATGTCTTCCAATTCCAGTGTTGAATGTTCATTAGACTTTAAAGTTGACAGGTTTTCCAGAATACGTTCTTGCATTATCATGCCATTACCATTATATTACCTGAAAATTGTCTTAAAACAACAATATTATTGTTTATCGCAATATCTTCTGGGACAATTTATCGTCCAGCAAAATTTGTTATTGTGACAGGCCTGGTGCTGACAGGCTTTGTGTAACTGAAGGAAAATACTCAATAAGAATCTGAAGATTAAACGAGTGTGAATTTTTCAGAAAGGCAAGAATTTCAAGGAAAATCCACGGAATAACCTGAATATGAGAGTGCATGGAAAGGATGAAATGTTTGATACTTATTTTCCCAGTATCGGGTGGTGAGTGTCTCGCTGTGAAGGGCATAATAAACTTAAAGGTTCTGTGTCAGTGAATCATGGGAAAACCTCCTTGATGGTTGATTTTTTTAACAAACTGTTCCTCAGTTTGTTAAAAAATAATTAAAAAAAAATGTCCCACTGCAGCCAAAGCAACCAAACCACAAAAGTATTAAACTGCTAATTGGGAAAATAAATATTATGTTGGTGAATCAGTCAAGTTTGACCTCTCCTCTCTTGGTTTCATATTCGTAATATTTGTAGTGTCTGAACAGGGAAGCCTGGAAGGGACCCCCACTGTGAAGCAGCGGTTTGGTTCACTTTAAACCACCTTGCTTGTTTTTTCAAACATCTCTCCTGTAACCGTAACGACTGTTTTGCCTTCATTTCCCCTCCTCCTTCTCCTCCTCCTCCTCCTCAGATGCTTGACGGACTCCGGCGGCGGCACGCCTCCCGCTCCTCCCCCAGACCCCTTTCCCTCAACTTCAGCACCTTCTCGGCCCCTCCCCCGAGCCCGGACATGGACGGCAGCAGCACCGAGCATCCGTTCAGGAGGTGAGGCTCAGCTCCTGCCCGGTATTAACATTTAACACCATGCGGGTATCCTGGGGAAGAAACGCATGAAATATTAATTAGCATTAAGCCTGTTTCTGGTCCCAGATGATTTCCTTTACCCAGCTGAGCTTTCTCTGCAACACATGCTGGTCTGGTGATAATGATCTCATGCTGGGGATGCTTGATTGACTCGGTTCTTTCCTTTTGTTCATCTCATCAGTTTGTGGCCCTGCTTTTCATGCTGTTTGTGTTTGCGTGCCTGCGTGGGCGTGAAAGGGGATCTGTTGTTTACTGCTGTGCTGTCAGCACTCAGAGTTTCTGGACTGCGTGGGTTTAAACTCATCGTGTCTTATTTTTCAGAGAGCTTGTTTTCATCACCCATCTCTTTTGAAAATATGCATAGCTTTTTTTTTCTCTCTCTCTCTCTTTCTCCCTCTATGTTTTAAAGTTTAATTTTCAATTGAGGACACTTTTTTTTTATTTTTTATGACTGCACCAAAGTAGGTCCTAAAAATTACAATTAGGCTACATCCAGGTTCCTGAAATAAATGAGGATTTGGAGGACCATGTCTCCTAAAGGGGATGTCCCATATAGAGAGGAAGAGCAGTGACTCAGCCCAGCGGATAAAGTTTCAGCTCTTCAACCCTCAGAGAGATTTGTGGCAGCGCTCATTCTAGTAGACTCTCTGGTTCGGTTTTCTGTGAGGTCTTGACCACTCTGCTGTCATTTTTAAACAGGCTGTTTTACTGCGCTGAATCAAAATCTATGAGAAATTCTAAAACACTAAACTATGAACCAGGAAGTGTTGATAAATTAACGTAAACATTTCATGTTCTAGAAGTCGGGACCTAAACTCGAGGCTTTTGCAGCTTCTCCTTACGGTCCACATCCACACAGCATGATTTCCTAACAAATCTCTGTCGTCTTTAAGCTACAAGGAGACAAAATGTTACCAAGTTGTTTTTAATCTAGTTTATAACTTACAACTAACTTTTCAACAAGATATAGGAGCTTGTTTTAAGTCATTAATTTCTTAATACTGATTTAAGATGAAGTGCTACTTCCACTGGCATTATTTTATTTATGATATTGGAATATTCTCTTGCTATAAGTGAAATAATCTGCCAGTGGAACTTGTATTGTTTTATTAATATTAAGAAATTATGGACTTAAACAAGCTCCTATATCTTCCCAAAAGGTTATTTAAAAGTTAGTTGTTATCTTATTTCAAGTGCACTAAGATATTTGCACTAGAAACTAGACCAAAAATACTTGTTAAGGTTTGGTCTTTTTTTACAGTGTAGAGTACAGCTGTATTAATACTGCGAATAAATTACAGGTAAACTCTTTTTATATTCACTGCAGTAAAAAAAAAAAAAACTTGCTCTCTCAGCAAATTCTTCAGTTGTTGCAATATTTACAACACTAAAAGTCACCAGATCATAAGTGCAAAGAGCAGTTCTGTAATAATAATTTAATTCATTGTGTGAAAAACTAAATGTTCTCTAAACAAAATAAGTGATTGTGTCACACTTACAGGCTGTTTGCGGTGCAGGGAGACTGATGTGATTTTTCTCTCGTGGTGTTAGTTCATCAGGACTTCACACTTTTGTCTCATCAGTCCACATATAAAAACACTATTAATGTGGAATAAAGTCTCAAGCTAAAAACTAAGTTTCATAAATAAATGACTGAGAATATTTTAGCGGCGTTGTTTTGCAGCAGAGGTCTGTTTTTCATTTGTTCGTTTTCCGCGTCCAGCTGTGGTGAAGCAGGAAAACCTTCTTCATTGTCTCGCACCGTGTCGCTGCTTCCTGTCGCTTTTTCCGCCGTTGTCAATAAGCCATATGACTTCCTTCTCCTCTTCTCAGTGCAGTCGCAGCAACTGCTTTAGGCCTGCTTACCCTGCAGTTCCTCTGGCATCTGTGCCCTGCATAAATATTTGTTTGCATCAATGGCCGTATTGTGCCGACTGCGAGGCGGTTGAAGGAGGCAGAGAATGCCCCCAGCGGTGCGTGTGCTATTGTTTTCCTGCTCTTCTGAGAGATCCGGCGGCGCAGCGACACCGTGCTTCACCTCCCAGCTGGGCTCCACCCATCCTGCTCTTTGCTTGTTGCCCCAGTCTCACCATGCACCACTCTGTCCTACTTCTCTCCTCCTCCTCCTCCTCTGTCACCGGCTGCTCTTTGTTTTCCTTTTTTTCCTCCGCCGTTTGAGTTCTCCTCTGCCCCGGAGCCGTCTCCTCGTGTTTCCTCTGCGTATGTCGGCTCATTGTCTGACCTTCTTTCTTGTCTGTCCCCTGTCCACCTTTAATGTTTTCCTCATGAGGACTCTGCACCGGCTGAAGTTGATGAGCTCGCCAAGCCTCAGTGAGCTCGGTAAGAGTGAGAAAAGTTCACCGGAGGACAGAGGTGAGAAGCAGAAGAGGGCCGGAGCCAACGCCACCTGGAACAGGTAAACCAGATCCGAGCGGAGGCAGAAAACACGCCGGACTCAGACCAGCAGTAAAGTGCGGTTTCTGCTTGTGTTGCAGCATCCACAACGCTGTCATAGCAGTCTTCCAGAAGAAGGGCCTGGCCGATAATGAACTCTACACCCTGAATGAAGGCGTCCGGTAGGTTCAGAAATCAACCCAAGACGCGGATTCCCCAGCTGTGAAGCTCCAGCTGCTTTATTTTAGACTCTTGATCTAATTTTGTGCTGTAATCCGTGTAATTACTGTCTGTCCAGCGCTTTGCTGCTGACTGACTGTTTTCTTCTCAATGACCTTGTTTGTGTATGATGTGTATGTGGGGCTGTGGAGTCATGTGGTCAGGCCAGATATCTCATTATCTCTCCGAGCCAGACCCATCACTTCTCTCTGCCTCCACGTTAGCCGACTGAAAATATTTCCGGAAAAAGCCACAAAGACGTGGATTCATCTTTTCTGACCACAGGAGGCTAAGAGCATAATGTTCTTCAGGAAAACAGACTGTTTTCACGCTGTCTTTGTTTTCACCGGGAAACAAAGACGGTTGCTTTACCAAACATGGTTCAATATTTTATTACAAATTCATCCAGTGCATTTTATCATTCAGAGTTTTGAAGATAAACGCTTGCTGTCTTTTTCAGGCATTTGTTGAAAACTGAGCTGGGCTCTTTCTTCTCAGAGTACCTCCAGGTAACGCACGTTTAGCTCCTCTTTTTAAATTCATTACTGACCTGAACCTCACTGTTTTATCAGACAAGAACATTAATGACGATAAATTATACTCTTATATCACGACCATAACTGTTGTCGACTTTCCACAGAATCAGCTTCTGACGAAAGGCATGGTCATTCTTCGGGACAAGATAAGATACTATGAAGGTAGGTCTGGGTTAACGTCTGGCGCACGCTTTAACTCATTTAGCCAACATCTGAAAAAACAAAACCTTCACATCACCCTGAAAATACAGCAATCTGCTGAAGTTGGTGGGAAGATGGATATATCTAGTGCAAGGTTATACTTGAGGAAACCCATTTAGAGGCTGAAAATTAGTTGCGAATGGGGTTTAGGTTTGACTTGCAGGCAGAAAATCACCCTGAAGATGCAGCTGAAGCTACCAGATCGAGGCATAAGAGCTTGAGCAGTTTTGCTTTGATGAATGCATAAAAATGTTCACCTCTTCATGCTGGTAGAGACATAACCCAAAAGACTTGCAGCCGTAATTGCAGCAAACGCCGAACACAAAATCCTTCCTAAACTTTTCGGATTGTTCTTAACGCGTGTAATCTTCCCCTTCGTCTCCGTTCGCTGTTTGGTAATGGCCTGTCGCATAAGCTCTGAATAAAACACATTGCAGTTTGTTGTAGGAATGTGACAAAACACGGTGAATGTAAACAGAAGTGAATCCTACGAGGCATTGTTTTTGTGACTTTGTCTCCGATTCATGCAGGCCAGAAGTTACTCGACTCGCTGGCGGAGACCTGGGACTTCTTCTTCTGTGACGTTCTCTCCATGCTGCAGGCCATCTTTCACCCAGTCCAGGTGCGCACAAACTCCTTAACAAGCTGCTTGTGTTTTCTTTTTTTGTTTTTTTTCTTTTTTAGTCCACATCTCTTCTGTTGAATCTCTTTCCTGGGTGGTGCTCATTGCGGTTTCCTGTGTTTCTTGCAGGGTAAGGAGCCCTCTGTCAGACAGCTGGCCCTGCTCCACTTCAGGAACACCATCGTCCTGAGCGTGAAGCTGGAGGACGCGTTGTCTCGGCCGCGCGCCCGCGTGCCCCCCTCCGTCACGCAGATGTTGCTCATACTGCAAGTGAGCAGAACGTCATCTCCCACTTCCGCTCTCATTTGTTCAGCTGTTTTTGTTTTGAACAGAAGCAGTGCGTCGTTCCTTTATTTGCAGCTTCAGTGACGTTTCTTGTTTTGGTTTTGGAGTTCGCATCCTTCTGCAGGAAGATATCTCAGACGTTACGCTCATGACTTAAGACGTGTTCATGCTCTTCACAGTTATGCTGAGACTATAATGAGCGCTGGATTTTATTCGGTGTTATTGCAGAATATAAAGGCATGCCACACTTTTCAGACTTTTATTTGTAAAACCTGCAAATCCTTCATTCTTCGTTCCTCTGCACAACTCTGCACGTCTTTCTGTAGGTTAACCGTTACTTATCAATGTTGATGTTGGGTTTTAATCATGTTTGGGTTAATATTTACCCTCATTAATATCTTAGCGAGTCGCAGAGGAGTAATGATAGTCTTGGCTTAATTTTGGATTCATGTTTGGATACTCAACAAGACAGGCAGAGTTTCCTATTTCTGACCTTTAAGAACAGTCTGTTATTTATAGAGTTGAGGTTGACACCATTCTGGTAACCATTATCTTAATCTGTTTTATCCATTCAAAAAACAAATTTTATTTTATTTTTTAAAAGTGTAGGGCTTCTCAAAGCTTCTCCAAATATTAGTGGAGGTTATTTCTATGTATTTGAGTGTAAAAAGAGAAAATTTAGAGTTCATTAAAATTTTTGCAGCCAGTTCTTGCTAACAATTGAATTTAATCATATGACAATGCAAAATTATAATCACCAAAATCATTTTAACTCTGAAATTGTTGAACCACTGATAAGAGTTGGGTAGTAACTAGTTACATTTACTTGAGTAGTATTTTGAAAAAAAGAAAAAAAAAACGCTTTTAGGAGTATTTTTACTACGCTGCACTCTTTACTTTTACTTGAATAACTTTATTATGAAGTATCACTTCTCTTAAAAACAATTCTGGATTCTCAGCCTACTGTGAAAACAAACATTTTAATTAAAAACCAGACACACACCTGCAGTTTTTGTTAAAGTTTCATAAGTTTTACATTAAAAGAAATTAATTTGTAAAAACTTTTTCTTTTTAATACAAATAAAAAATCTTTTCATTTTAATCTTTAAAATACAAACATTTCCACGTAACTTTATATTTCTGTCCATCTGGTGATGTAATTTTTCAATATTTTACACGTTTTACCACATTACTTTTTTACTCGAGTTATTTCTTGGACGGCTGTAGAAATGAGTAGAAATATGTTGAGGTAGTGCTGCTCTTACTTGAGCACAGGTTTCGGGTTCTCTGCCCACCTCTGCCTTTGACCCAACCGGTCAGGTTTTTGTACTTCTGTGTGTTTCAGGGGGTCCACGAGTCGCGCGGCGTTAATGAGGATTATCTAAGACTGGAGTCTCTGGTACAGAAGGTGGTCTCGCCTTACCTGGGCACCCACGGCCTTTACTCTGGAGAGGAGGACGACGATCACTGCTGCGTTTTTGGTGAGCCAGAAGCAAAGCAGTAACTGTGTGCTGTATTTTGAAAGGTCTTTAAATGAAGCCCTCCCCTGCTCTCGTCTCGTGTTACAGACAAGCGCGTCCCGTGGGGCTGGCCCAAGTCTGCAGACCAGCCGTCCAAAAACCCCGTGGTACGATCTAAGAGCTACAACATCCCCCTGCTGCTGACCCCCGTGGCGGAGTACGACCCGGATCCCAGCTCGGCCGGCAGCGGAGGGATCCGCCGCCACTCGGCTTGTGAGATTATATCATGCCTGGAGGAACAGGGGCTGACCTACGCCAACCTGGCTCCAGGGTCTGAGCTGTCCGGTCCCTCCTCCAACAGACTCTGCGTGGGCTCTCAGTTTAATGGTAGGACTGATTTCTAACTGGTTTCACCCACCATTTTACCAAACAACACCAGAACTCGTAACGACACAACCGTGCTGTTTCATTCCCCAGGGATTATACAAGCAGGCGCCGGTGCCATGGACCTGGCCCTGTCCTCTCCTTCCATCCTTCATTCCTCAGGCGCGCTCCACGGCACGGAGGCCACCACCACAGTGACCGACCTCAGCAAGGGGGCGTCCTCCTCTCCGCCCAGTGAATCGTCCAGCCCTGAAACCATAATCGGACAAGTTCCGGGGTCTGCCGGCTCAGACTCGGATGGGATATTCATTGAGTTCCCTTCTCACTCTTCGGGTGGAAAGAGCCTTAGCCGCGAGAGCAGGCAGAGCACTGTGTAGCTGTGGTCCCCTTCAGGGACCCACAGCGAGGGTGTGCGGGATTATTTAGGTAGAAAATGGGACACAAAATTAATACATTTCAGCAAAAGGGTACATCTTCCATTTTACTTTTATGCTTTCAATGACAACCTTCTTCCAGTGTGGATATTATTTAAATTCCTTTATGAAACCTTTCAGCAGCGACGGAAAAAAAAAATCAGCATGCATGTCCAAGATGACATGAAGTGGTACTGATGGCTGAAGATGTGTTGATCCTAAATGATGAAACCTTTTTACTGTTTTTTTTTTTTTTTAAAGTCCCAAGTCCTGATAAGATGATGCAATCAACAAACGCAAAAGAGCATCTAAATAACTTAAAATGTTATTGAAATGTTACTTTATTCCAGGAATTCGTCTTAAAAAGTGAAACTTATATATTGGATAGACTCATTACACACACACACAGCCCTTCAAACATTTATTTCTGTTAATCAAATGATTATAGCTTACAAATAACGAAAACCCAAAACACAGTTTCTCAGAAAATAATACTGTTCAAGATAACTGAAATTATTAGTTATTGACACTTTCCACAATGAGAGAGAATAAGCCACACATGCTTATTTTACAGAAGGTGAAAGTTCCCTTATTGCTGCATGCAATGATACTAGTGGAAAGTTGAGTGGAAGGAAAAGTGTGGTAGAAACAGCTTCAGTTGTCCAATCAGTTGTCTTCCTCGTGATTATGTAGATCATAACATTTCCTTAAAACAGACGTCTCAAAAGGAGCTTAGACCAAGTATCACAGTAGTTATTCTCCTGAAACACCGACTCCCTCTGCAGCCCTTTGAATGTACTTTGCTTCACAATCATCTCAAGGTTGTGGCAGTTACTGTTGCATATGGATCCTTTTATTCCACGCCATTTTTCCTTCCATGTAACTTTCCATGTTTGCATGCAGCAGTCTGCATCTTGTGCTCACCCTTCTTGTGGAAAGTGTCAGCTACAATCTGCTGGCGTCAGAAATCTTCGCCTGGATTGTGTCACTTATAGGATGACCTTAACATAAACGTCTTTTTTTTTTTTTCTTCATTGGCTTATGTAATGTTCGCATTTTCAGAGAAACTAAATTGTGAGGTTTTGTTGGTTGTAGACCGTAATGAATGAAATTACACTTATGAGTTTCATTTTGAAGCTGAAAAACTGAGATTTTCTGTGATGTTCTTAATTACTGAGATAATCTGAATTCGTCTGAGTGTCAAAAGCTCCATTTGCACTAAAAATCTTACTTCTTATAGTCTGTGAGGATACAGAGCATTAAAAAAATGATTCCCCTGCCAATGATAAGGTAGTGCATGTCGTTTACAACTAAAAATATATTAGAATGTCTTTTAAAATTTAATTTATAAATGTAACTACATATCAGTGAGACACAGAGTATCCTAAGTGGATCAGGTTTGGAAGGTAAAGTATTATGAGACAAACTGACACTGTTGATTTCTTTTTTTTTTTTTCTTTTCTTGGTTGTTTTATGGTGGGAAAAATAAATATTTCTATTCATCCATTTCCTTTAATTCAGTTATTTCCTTTAGTTGTTCTCTTGCTTCCCTGGAGAATATGTACCTTAAAAAAAAACTACACATTATTTTTTGTTACAGGTTGTTTTGTATTTGTGTACTTTGATGAAGACTCTTTATATTTCCTGTTTTTGCGCCTTCGTGTGCTGCTTGGGGGTCAAGAGGTTTTCTCGCTTTTCAGCGGCGCTCAGAGCACTTAATGCAAAATTATTTTGTGACTGCATTTGCTTTTTCTGCATGGGCATCGTGGTTCAAGGGAATACGACAATGTTTGTTTACATTCGACAAAGATGGAAACATTTTCAACTGAATGTTGTCTCACACTGTATTTTGCACCACCACTAACATGTAAATAAAAGTATGTTGTTTTTTTTTTCTTTTTTTTTAGAAAGGATAGATCTTGTACAGTGAACATTTGTCCTTAAAGGATTAGATTTTTTTTTTAAATAAGAACTTTTTAAAATAATCTTTTTTCAATGATGTTTTACCTCAAAGCATTTTGTACTTTACTTTTTGGACAATCTATGATGTCTCCAGAATTGTACTTTGTATAAATTTGTTATACTGGCCCCATAAAAATAAATAAATTTCAGTAATATCTAAAAAAAAAAAACCAACAACATATATACTATTTTAAATTGAATTGATTATTGATGTATGAATGAATAGGGTATTACTCAAATCTTCTTCTCCTGTCCCTTTCAAAGTAAACAATGTATTCTTGATTTTATTTAGTTATTTATCTACCAAGTTGGATCTTAAGGGTCACAGAGGTTTTAAACATTCTTCTGCTAAAGATGTTCATCACACTAAAATCCTTCAATTTTAGTTTAATCTGATAGGTAATTTCAGCCAACATCATCACCAGGGTTTGGTGTTCTCTTATGGCGTTGATGCAGACATTTTTTCACAGATAGACATATCTCCTTCCTGAATAATATGTTGGTTGAACATTTCCATATTTGTTTATGATAATTTGAACAGAGAAACACACCATTTTCAGGCATCTGGAAATTGGACCCAAAGAAGAATCAATCATTCTCATATATTTTTCTGATTTCATTTGATTTCCTTATAATGTCACAAAATGAAACAGTAGTTTGTAGTTTTCATTAGCTAACAAAGCTATAATATCATCAAACACTAATGTTTGTCTGTGCAAACTGAAGTTCAAAGTTACAAATTCTCTTTTTAGTTATTCTGGAATTTGACAAGTAGAGCACATTTTGTTAAACCTACCTGTCCTAAAACCGGAAGAGTTTAGTCTGATTTACTTTCCAAACTGTGAAATCTGCGGTATGCAAACACATGATTTCAGATGTCATGGGTTCCCATTTCTTTCTTTAATAGTTCATCGTCATTTACCATAAAATCTTGCTAGTGTTTTCGGTGTAGTCTGATAGAAACTGATAAAGTAATTGTAACAAAAAAAAAAAAAAAAAAAAAAATCGAAAACCTTTAATTTGAAAGGAGTACAGGAAACGCATCACGTTGTTAAAAACACAAACCGGAAATGTATTTTTAGCTTAAAGCTAACGTCAACTACGTGGTTGGTTTGCTGTTAAACGGCTAAATATAAGTGTTTTCTTGCTAACTAGTTGGTCTTTTAAACTGTATTTATAAGGAAATAGTCCCGGTAAACTCGGTAAGAGCTCTTCTTATCACATTGTTTTAGTAGCATTGAATAGCTCAGTACTGAGTGAGTTACAGTAGCTTTATATACACCCGCTGCTGGACTTTAGTTATTTCTTATTTATCGTTTGTGTTTTATTTCAGCTGCCAGACAGAGAGCTGTCTTCCTGCTCTGGGATCACTCCGCCACCTTCGCTGCGCTCTCCGGCCTCGTTTCCAGCCTCAGTCTGTGGATGAGCCTGGCCAGTCGCCGCCTTCCTAGATGAAGATGTCCCTGGCTCAGCGAGTCTTCCTCTCCTGGATCTTTGCCCTGGTCTTCCTCATCATGCTTGCCCTCAAGCTGGACTCCAAAATCCAGTGGAACTGGTTCCTGATCTTCCTCCCCGTCTGGATCTTTGACACCATCCTCATCCTCATGCAGATCGTGGAAATGGCGGGTCGCTGCAAGCCGGACTTTGACCCCAGGGACGAGGAGAAGAGCGTGAAGAGGAGGCTGTGGTACCTGTCTGCCCTGCTCCTCAAGCTGGCCTTCTGTCTGACTCTGTGCTCCCGGCTGCAGAAGCTGACGGACATCTGGGTCAGCGTGGTGTGTGTCCCACTTTGGGTGCTGCTGGGTGGAGCGCTGCTGGAACTGGGATACAGTGTTTTCCATTACAGGAGGGACTGAACGAGGGAAGAAACCCTTGCAAAACGGACACATTGTTATTTTTATATATATTCACCTCTTAACTGAGGATGCACAGTTTTAGTTGTTATTTTAAAACCTGCTGCTCTTCAGTTGTACGGGACTGAGATTGTTTTTGGTTGCACCATAACAAGAGAAAACATTGGCACTTTGCTTTACATCTGACAACTTCACATCAATTTCAACATGTCTGGGATTGTTGAATTAAATCCAGCCCTCTTTTAAATTTTACTCACAATGCCGCTTTTTAACAATTTTAAAGTAAAATAAAAAAAGAGAGACTTAAGCTGGTTTTAAGATCCTCCATGAACATCATTTATTGATTTTTGCTGCACTGTCAGAGGTTTTATGCTATTTTGTTCTCCAAGGAGATAAAAGTCAATAGTTAACTGGATGGATTAAATATTATTTACATGTTGGCTGTAGACGGTAAGGACAGACTTACATATGGAAAAAATATATGATTCTTATTATCTTATTTAAGAATAAAATAAGAATAAAACATAACTGAAAGTGTGGAGTTTGTTTTTGGGCACTTGAGTAAACATTTTAGCCATTTTTTTCATTTTGATAGCTGCTGGTGTTTTGGGGGAATGTCTCTTTACTGAAATATTCAGCCCCAAATATTTATTCCCAATATCGCTGACCGGTTTCTTTGTCTCTGACTCTCCCACCTGAGCTGTGACTCTCTGCAGCCACTCCAGAGACATCTTGATATCTTGACTGCTTCCTGATTTTTGTGCGTTTCTTTCTTTATGTATGACACTCTTATAATTTGTAAAAGAAAAAAAGTGCCTTATGTTTGTCTATCATTAAAACCCTTAAACATTGAAGTTTGTAGCTGTAAAGTGAAAAAAAAATATGGAAGTTTTTTCAAGTCACTGTTATTGCAAAGTGAAACATTGGTAGGATTGCGGTGCAGGATAAAGTCTGAATATAAATAACTATATAACTAAATCATTACCTTAATCGTTTATTTTAAAATGGAAAATATAAACAAAGTTCTATAATTGTTTTTATGTGTGCAAGGCATATAATTTGAACTATTTCATCGCTGTGTGCTGCAAGACGTCATAAATTCACTTTTACTTTACTTTTTACTCATTTATGTTAGCGGGTGAAGCTCATAGTTGGTTATAACCAATCAGATGTTAAGTCATGAAAAGCTGATAGATTTCTGTTGTTTCATGGTGGAGTTCAGGATTGAAACTGTAAAATAATTAAGTACAGAAATTATTCTTCATGTTTGCAGTCTAAGCCATGAATCTAAAATTGAACAATTCAATAAATTATTGACACAAACGAGTAGGCACACATGCACATCTTAATTGAATGTGTTTATTTGAGCCATTTATTTTAAATATAAGGCAGGATTTAATGATTTGTTTAAAAAATAACTGGCAGACTGATGAGTAAAGGAATGAACTCAATTGAATAGAAAATCATTTCTGTAAATCTTTTATGCATATTTATCCAGATGTATAAAATGATTCAGTCGTTTGGCTGAAGATGAACTGAGTGAGCTGGGGCCGAGCGGAGAGCTCCCTCAGGTGGAGAAGTTCAAGAGTTTTGGTGTTGAATCTGTAAGAACTGAAGCCGTTCATGGAACGTTTCCATGTTTCACGAGCATGGAGAGACAATTTCACTTGGGTTTAAAACGCTGCCATGCTTCATCCTGAAGCATCTAATCGGTAAATTAAAACTGTTAGAAAAAAACAGGAGACACTTAGTAACTTAGTCAACGTTTAGAACCATTTATTGAGAGGTTCTGATCAGAGTATAAATCACACTACCAAGTATTATCTTAGGAAATAAAATGTATTTACAACAAGATCTTCACATACATCAGTTTCAAATAAAAACAGACAGTAAATGATATAAATAAGTTCTATGGAAAATAAAACCTGTCTTACAAAAAATATATGCAATTTCTGTATACATTTTCCTCACACCGGTGCTAATAACATCTAGACTGTACAGTTTTGGTACTTACAGTATAATTTACAGCCCTGTGTGTGTGTGTGTGTGTGTGTCAAACAGTCCAGTCTGAAAACAATTGCTAGAATCTGATTTTGGAGTGTTATAAACACTAAAAATCCTGCCCACCAAAGCAACAAAAAGATGATTTACAGATCAGTGGAGGACCTACCGACATCTCCCAGTTCATGTCACTCGGCGCCCGGCGAAAGTATTTAAAATGGTTTCCACACCGTGTCACTCTGCAGCCTCAAGTTTCAATGTTTTTTTTTTTTTTTGTCGGGATCTCAGCTAGTAGAGACGCAAAATGTTTCACAAATAAACAATTACTTCGCAGTTGGCACCGATTCATTCTGATGCCGCTAAATAAAAATCCAGTGCAACAAATTACCGACGGGAAGTGACCTAATTAGTGGAAAGTTTGTAACGTAACCTCATTATAAATACAGCTTCTTCACAGCAGGATGAAGACCAATGAACACAGCAGAAACATAATAGAGAAAGTTAAAAAAAAAAAAAAAAAAAAACCCAAATTTTAAAAATTCCCCGCCCAATCCCCCCC